TCCGGGTTAGAGAGAGGAGGGCTAATTGGCTAATTATCAAAGAAAAGGAAATGGGTTACTAAGGCCTCAGGGAGTTGCTCTGCCCAGCCCAAGGAATGGTAATGACCACCCCCAGGGCTGCTCTTTCCTGGCCCTTAGTCACTAGGCAGGTGGGGAGGGAGAGGAAACCTGGGAACTATAAAAAGGCAAGACACACACCCACTCCCAGGAGACCCGCTCTGGCCTCCTTCTCTCTAGACGTCTATCTCTGCCTCTCTTTTTAAAATAAAACTTGCTTTCTACAGTACTTGCCTGGGTGTTTCTTGGGCGCTTAATCTTCCACACCAGTGGACGTAGGGCCCCATCCTGATTTGCAAGACGGGTATCACTGGCAGGTCTGGGGCATTCAGTTCACCTAGTTCAATAGGCACATTTTAAACTACTACCAACTTGGTTCTAGTGGCCTGCCCAGTTCCAAGCCACCAAGCCCACTGTCCCCTGCCCTGCTGCAGAATGCAAGGGACGCATTGCGAGGGACATGTGACATTTCCTTAGACAATTGATCATCGCCAGCTCAGGAAGATCCCGGGTTCCATGTGGACCCAACACCCAGGTAGCAGCTGCTCCCCTCCCACACCCCTCACAACCCCACATTCTAGAACCTGGATCAGACTCCAGGATAAGCTGTGCAAAAAGAGGCCGTCAGGCTGGGGCCCACCAGAGCCCAAGCCCACCTCCCTCTGTAAATCACAGCTGAGTCAGGTTCATATCTGGGTTTTGTTCATCCACACGATGAGCTAAAATGGTAAAAATAATGCCCGATGCGGAGAAGTCTGAGGCTTCGGTGCTCAGGGACAGCACTGGGTGGCTCCCCACAACATGGGTGACTGGAGGCTCACTCCTTTGGGTGACTCATTCCTGAGTCTCCGCCTTGGTCCCAGCTGGGCAGCAAAGGGCCTGGCCAAGTCTTGCAAAGTGGGATGGACAGTCTCCTGCTGTGCTGCTTCCCTGCTGGGCGCACCTCTGACACACCTGCCCACTGCCCCTTCAAAAAGTCTCTGACACATGGTGCTCACACCTGCACTGCCGGCAGACCCAGCAGGAACTAGCCAGGAGCAGGTGCCTGAGCCAGAGGCTCTCAAGCCACAGAGGGACCAATGGCCCATAAAATGGTCAACGAGAGCACTTTGTCCAGTAATCCAGACAGTGACTCACAGCATCAATCAAATCCACTCTTGTGTACTGTGAATGACTCCTTGCCAAGACATTAGCTGTCCATTACCAGGGCAGGGGGTGAAGGATGGCACTGAGGAAGCAGAAAACGGGACCCGTGGGGTGAGTGAGTGTCCGGATGTGCCCTC